CCTGCACTGCAACACCCCCTTTTCGCAACACCTCCTGGTTCCCTTTTTTTTGAATGTAAAACGCCAATCCGACAGAATGAAACCACAAGAAGCTGGATCCTGTGGCAAGCTATCAAAATCTATCAAATCCTCCTGGCGAAGGAAATGTTCGTGCCTGTCGTGCCTGTTGTGCTGCTCCCAATCGCCCATTTCGCAATGCGTGTCCTGTCGATTGGGATGTGTGGCTGCTCGACGACTCTGCGATGCGGAAATTTAATGTTTGCACTCGTGCATCGTGGCATGGTTTGATCAGGCGCTGTTGAAATGAAGAAATGCACGCCTGTGAAATGCTCAAATGTTTCCAGATCTTTTAGCTGAATAACCGACCCATGTACACATTACAAGCGTATCAAGTCCCAATTTCTCTCCCACTTAGTTTGCTGGTCATCTCAAATTGAATTCTCAGGTATTCATGGCCTACTTCCCATGTAATTTACATGTTGTTCCCTTGGATTTGCAGCGTCCATTTCCCCATGATTCCACCCTTCGTTTTCCACTTACTTTCCATGCGTTTCCCATTTATTTCCCATTTCCGAAACCTTTCCCTTTCTTTTCGTGTTGATTTCCCTGCGCTGTCACCTTCATCAGTTTCTTGTTGATTTCATTGTACTTCCAAGACAGGGCATGATTCACCAGGGTAGAAAGTCGCATGATGCCCACAACTTCCCTCGAAGCCGCTTTGGCCCATTGAATATTCATCGCTTCAGTAGTACTCGCCGCTCAGAGATCAAACTTTGGATAGCAACATATAACAACGCAAGGCACTTTCTTGTGTGAACTTTCTTGGAGTAGCGGTAGCGCTTTTCGATTAGATCACTGCACTCGGTTGTGCTTTGGGGAGAAAACACGTCTCATAATGCAGCAACTGCTCTTTCACAACGCACGACGATACATCTCGTTCAGTACTAATACTGCATTTTCTCGATGGCCATCGCACTTCAGCTTTGAAGGAGCAAGAACAGAATGTCTTATAGGTTAAAATGTTAAAACCTTCCATGTCTTTGCGCAACGGTCCGCAGAATGATTTGCGCGATCTCCTCAGCTATCCTCAGCTGAACGTACTGCTTGCCTTGACAGCAGTGCATGGTTCCCGTGTCCAACAAATGCTTCGTGACCCCTGCCTTTCTGCACCCAGTTGTGTGCAACATCATGACCCAAAAGAACTCGCCCCGTGCCCCGCTAACCCCGCTCTCTTTGTTTCATTATTATCTATGTTTCATCCTGCTATGTGCTCCGTCTGCGTTTCCTAGTTTGTTTTCACATTTTCTTGAGGCCAAAAAGTAAAGGAGAGTGGTGTGCGAGGAATTGGGAAAAAGGAAGTGGAAAGTAACCAGTAAGTCTGATGATGCTAACGGCGACGATGTGGCGATGATGCAGGAGATAGTCGAGCGGGCAGTTCACTGTGAAGTTTCATGCGATTGGCGATTCCAGCCCCTGCAGATGCCTTTCTAAAGCAAGAAGGACTTTGGCTAGAACTAGTAGAAGCATTCGCCTTTCGCCATTTTCGTTCCTCGCCCAAGGACTTGGCCATTGTGGCTTTGCGCCTCTTCGCTCACAAATTGGAGGAAACATGATGGAAAAACATAGCATGTAATGCAGGAAACGTTTACACAGCTCACGAAAAGTAATCATGGCAGCATCAAAACACAGTACCAGAACAGATCAACACTATGATTCCAGTACGGACTATGCAGAAAATCAAACCCTAAGGAAGGACATCATGGCAATATAGGTTTTCACTCATGCCAAAAGCGCCAAGGCTTTAGCAGCCACGAACGCAATTGTAATGTTCAGGTCAATAGATTATTCCATAACCAAAACATATTATTCTATAACCGTAAACAAAACGTATTATTCCTCAACCAAGGATTATTCCATAACCAAAACGTATTATTCTTCAACCATGAAGTGTTATTCCTCAACCAAAAATTATTCCACAACTAAGACGAAATATTCTTTAACCAAACCGTATGATTCCTCAACCAACAATTTTTCCATAACCAAAACATGTTATTCCAAAACCAGCGGGGATTTGAACCAAACCAAGGCATGAACTGCTCTAACCCCAGTTCCGTATCTTGTCAAGAATCTTCTATAATGAAAGTAAGTAGCGGTAGTCTTCCCAAAGAAGCGGGGCTGCTTGCTGAATACTTAAATTTGATCTATTGTTTTGCGGGGCTGGGGGATTTTTTAATGTCTTGTAACTTGTCAAGAATCTTGTATAATGAAAGTAAGTAGCGGCAGTCTTCCCTAAGAAGCGGGGCTGCTTGCTGAATATTTAGATTTGATCTATTGTTTTGCGGGGGTGGGGGATTTTTAAGTATCTTGTATCTTGTCAAAAATCTTCTATAATGAAAGTAAGTATCGGTAGTCTTCCCTAAGAAGCGGGGCTGCTTGCTGAATACTTAAGTTTGATCTATTGTTTTGCGGGGGTGGGGAATTTTTAAATGTCTTGTAACTTGTCAAGAATCTTCTAGAATCAAAATAAGTAGCGGTAGTCTTCCCAAAGAAGCGGCGGTTGCTTGCTGAATACTTAAATTTGATCTATTGTTTTGCGGGGGCGGGGGATTTTTAAATGTCTTGTAACTTGCCAAGAATCTTGTATAATGAAAGTCGCGGTAGTCTTCCCTAAGAAGCGGGGCTGCTTGCTGAATACTTAAATTTGATCTATTGTTTTGCGGGGGTGGGGGATAAGGTCTCGGCTCTGCGGGGAACCCGTCCCCCCGTTAGCCGTAGTACTTAGCGGGTTAGGCAGGGACCCGCGGGCGCTTGCAATCTTTGGATCGGCGCCTTGGCAACTGCTAGTTGTGCTCTGGACGTTCTGAGCAAGCGTCTACCACCTTCGCTTCGCTTCACCGCCTTCTGCGATCTACTTCATTGTGTTTCTGGTGGCGCTCGGGCTCGGTGCATCTTCACTTTGCTTTCAACGTCGGGTTCGACATCGTCCTCGGCTTTGACCTGGTGAACTTCACTGTTTATGCTCTACTACCTCTTCGTGCTTGCCGTGGTGATCGGTAATAATTACTCCTTCACTGCGACGCAGGGAGCGCCGTTTGAGAGCGCGTGCCAGATTGAAGTGGCATTTACACAAGAAGGGCATCCAAATTCTGTGCAATACTCAGCTTGGACAGTTGGTGCGGAACTTGGCTTGTCATCATTCGAGAGACATTGGCCTTCTTCGCAGAATCAGGACAGAGATGTCGGGGACTTCCAACGAACCCTGGCGATGTGCCTTCTGCAAAAGGCTGAACAAAGCGGTAGCCGCTCACTCCGGAAAATGCGAGACCAGGTGGGAGCGATGCATCGACATCTACTATATATGTCCATGGGCAGAATGCGAGAAAGGAGCAAAACTGGTCTTATGCAGATTGGGAAGAACAAGGAGCAGGTTGGTCTGGTCGGCAACAAAGTCGTGGACGAAATGCCTCCAATCGGAGAGATTCACCTCGGAAGAGGTATCAACCGCCACGAGGACACAAAGGAAAGGACAGTCCTCGCCAAAGGGGACCCCGGAAGAAGGGCAACAAGGAGCAGGAATCCTTCACCTTTCAACCTCTTGGCGGACAACCTCCACCGTGGCCAACGCAAGGTACTTCCTTCTCTACATCATCAACAGGTTTTGCGAATTATGCTATGCCTCAAGCACCTTTGCCACCACCTTCAACACCGCCACCAGCATCCCCTCCTATCCAGGTAGATGCATCATTGGTGGCTGCTGTGAGAAAGGAGTATCCCGACTTGAGCAAGGCTCCGTCGGAGATCCGGGAGGCGATGGAGAAGGCAGAGACGATGTCGTCGCAGCAGATTGCTTCAGCACTTCATCGCTCTACGAATCGAGTCCGGCAATCAACGGACAAGCTCCGGGCGCTGCAAGAGTCACAGCGTCGACACAAGGAATCTTGGCATGTGCACCTGAAGGAAGCTATCACGAGTTGGGAAAGTCAAGTGAAATCATTTGCATCCCAGCAGAACTCCTTCAAGGATATGATGGAACATACACGTGCCGAGCTTCAAGCAGCAAGAAACGAAATTCAGAGGCTGAATCATTTGGCGGCTGGCACAGGGAAGATCATGCAGATCCCCACGGTCGACCTCACAGAGCCGGAGGAGATTGTGATCGACACCACGGACAGCACTGCACTGATGGAGAAGTTGCAAACCACGCTGCAGAAGTGTTCCCAAATCATTCTGGAAACAGAGAAAGGGGAGCGAGCCGTGAGTGTGCCATCAGACGAAGAGATGCAACCACCAGCGAACAAGCGCCAGAGGTCGGCAGATCCAGGCGCAACAGATGCTGCCATGGGAGGTGGCAATATTGGTGGTGGTTCATCGTGATGATGGGCGACGGGGACTTGGGTCCTGACTGGATCAATAGCCGTGCGCCTTTACATGGTGACCCTTGGCGCGCTGACCACACCGAGGCCTATGTCCATTTCCAAGATGGATGTGCAGCATGTGTGGCAGACCTTGAGGGTCATTTTAGCCCCATTTGGCACGCCCTTCATTCAGTTCGTGAAGAAGAGGACTTTGTTGATGTTTTCAATGCTCTGCACAATGCGACTGAGCTGCGAATTCAGGTCATCACAGACATGCAGGCCCCTATATTGCCATCAAAGTTTCCTCGACGCTTTGGTCATATGCACCTGTGCGTCCAATTTTGAGATGTATGAGATCATGTTGGAACCTTTTTGCGCCTCTCTTTTCCAGGCAGTATGGCAATGCTTTCCACCACTATGACGGGTTATGTGGAAGTTCGAAGGCAACCATCAGGCGTTCCCGTGTCCAGTTCAGGGACGCAGTTCAAGTGCGCTTTTGTGACCAACATGATCATACCACTACAATTGAGGTTTGTTCTTCAAGACTGACTGACCTCCTACAAGACGACTCCTATTGCCCTAGCCTGCTGGATCCGCCAGCACAGAGGTCGTTGAGCCGCAGGCAGGCGCGACTTACAGACTCCCATGTTGTGCCGGGTGGTGACTTTCACTTGGCTACGCGTGGAGTTGATCATGAACCACCTCCTAACTTCATCGATGTTGATCTTGCACGAGATCTTCCGCAATTTCTACATCAACTTCAGCGATCATTCAGAGAACGTGGACTTCGACTGGGTCCTGATGAAGCATTGCGTTTGCGAACATGGTATCTCCATCACTGTGCTCATGACAGATGCTATGCACCACGCTTTGTTGAGCTGGAAGGCAACCCTGCACGCTGGAGCAATGACATCACTCAGGCTTGGCAGGACATTGTTTTGCGTGATCTACCACTGAGCTTTCATTTGGTATTTCCAGACCTACCCCGTTGGACTCATGATCAGCTTGTGGGAGAGATCCATGCTGACCTTATCGTGGCTCAAGGTGATCCCCACTGGAATGCAGGACTTCTACTTGTCTTCCCAGGGCCACATATACCATCCTTTGAGCTTGCGGCCTCACTCTCAAGATTCATCAATGGCAACGACCTGGTGAGTATTGCACAGGCAGAATTCTGGCTCCACAACGCTCATTGTCGAGTCACTCATGGGTGGCAAGAAATCCCACTTCTCCCAGAACGATTTACATCCAACAGCTGACGGACAGTCCTTTGTTTTGGCTTTTACACCAAACATTTTAGCTGAAGGGAGAGGTGGTCAAGCTCATGAAGGGGAAGTCACTGATGACGCCAGCCTCATGGCTACCTTCCATCAACTGCCACATGATGACCCCACTTCCATTGCGGAGAGGCCGGAAGCAGCCCAAGATGACAATGAGATGCAGGATGAAGATGAATCGCCGTCCCCAGGAGAGGACGATTATGAGTCAGACTACGCGATGACTCAGGCAGATGAGCATCTACCTTGGCAGTCGGTCGCGATCTTTGACACTGAAGCCCACTCTGCGAGAGGCCGAGTGCCTTTCACACCGTATGAGGCCTTTTTCAGACGAGTCCGTGCGATCATTGGGCTGCGACACCATGATGTGTCACGGATTGTGCAGATCACACCCACGCCTGACGATCTCCTGGCGTTGGTTGTTACTCCACTGCTGATACTGCGCCATGACGACTTTGAGGAAGGCGACTTCCGCAGAGCTGCACTCGTTGATGTTGAGCACCATGGAAGTCAGTGGACCACACCAGTTGCGACAGATCGCTTTGTGATCAAGCTGCCTGACATGATCCACCGTGCCAACTTCTTAGCTTGGATACGAGTTGATCGATTCTGCTCGCGCTCCAGAGACCGTTGTCTGGTATGAATGGCACAAGGGCATTCTTGTCCCGAAACAGTCTATGCAGTTGATGCACATTCAACATGGTGACTATATCCGTGTGGCCATACCACCCTTCAAGCACGAACAAGTACCCACTAGACTTGCAGTGCAATGTGCGCAAGCAGGCTTTTCACCCCAACAGACATTACGGCGATACCAACAGCGGGGAGATGACACTGACAGCCTCTACTCAATGATTAGCGCAGAACAGACAGCAGGTGATGCCACTGCCTTTTTCCAGCTCCATTGTGGAAGTGCGGGAGCGGCGCCTTTGACATCTTGGACTCAAGCACATCCGGAAGCTTATGCAGTGCGACAAGCAGATGATGACCCGAGACCTTCTTGGATCTCACAGATGCATGCGGCATTCACTGAAGAAGCATGTACTGAATGTGAAGAAGAAGGGCCAGTTGCTTTTGTCGAGACATGGTTTGTCAAGGGCTACTTTGCGCATGTCACGGAATACTCCAAAACCTTTCGGATTACACAAGAGATTGCTTGGTGGAAAGATGAGCTGGTTGAACTTTGGAGAGACAAAATTGATCTCCACAAGCCAGTCCAATTTCATTGGGTCCAGCCAACACCCATTACGAGTTCCATGCGTGAACGTTTGGGACATCTCATATTGTGTCAGGATGTGTCGAACCACTTGGCACCAGCACTTTTGACAGTTGAATTCCATGCGGATGATTCCTACCGCTTTGGACAAGCGGCTGCAATGTTGCCCAACCCTTGTCACTGTCTTTGACGTCAAGAACCTTGCACGTTTGTTGGGGCATTGCTTGTCGAGACGGTGTACGTTACGTCATGGACGACAAGTTTGGAGTGACCACGAGGCGCAGCGCTTCCCAGCAGGAGCAGGTCTCACCTTCGGAGTTCTTCCTCCAGTCAGAGACCTACATGTTGGCAGCGAGCATGTTTCTTCTCCATCGCTGGAACCTTTGAACATTCATGGGCAGGACGAAGGCGAGGATATTATTCCTGCACAACCTCCGCTCCATGACCAGTCCCTATTCACGAGAAACCTTTTTGAACTATGGGATCGGCAAGCTGTCTTTGGCCCAGCACACCTCGAACGACTCCTTCGTGTTGAAACTTGGTATCTCGAGGGGCGACATGTCAAGCATCATGACGAGCAGCGCAATGTCGTTCTGGCCGAGGACTATTGGACCTGGGAGGGGACCTTGGCACATAGGTGGCGAGATTTTGTCCTACCAGGCATTGATGTTGACTTCACGATTGTGACGCCAACTCCATCCTCGGCACCACCTCTTGAGGTTCACATTATCTTGCACTAGAGAGTTTTTGAGTTTGACAGACCAAGCATTGTGACGGTACGAGACAATGCCGTCTTGAGGGGCCCTGCCTACACGGCAGCTGTCCTGTTGCCCTCTGCAGTGACAAAGGCAGACATTATTCTCCACATGGGGAAGACATTCAGCTGCCCGCCACAGAGACCTGAGGCAGTTTGTACATGCTGGCATGGCTCCCTTGAAGTCGAAGACCTTCGTCCTTTTCCCAATAGGGACGTTTACGCCTTTGATTTGCATGTTCATCGTCATTTACCCGTTGGTTTTTGGTCGGATGACGAGGAAGACACTGGGGCCGCGGCTTCTACAAGTCTTCTTCAGACATCATTTCATGCGAGACATGTACCCCTCCGAGAGCAGCCTCAACCTGTTGAAGAGCCACCAACTGATCCGGATGATCGAGCTACTGAGAGCTCCTTGCCAGAGCCGCAGCGTATCGACATGGCGCCTGCCATTCGACTTTTTGAGTGGATTGATGCGCATTTCTTTTTGCCCCAGTTCGACGTGCCCAATCTGCCTGACTGCCACGCTGCGTGGGAGTGGACCCAGTACTGGTGGGACCCAGGCCAGCCATGCTTTCAGCTTTGCATCTACACTGACGGCTCCTTTTCCAAGGTGATCCAGGAGCATGAGGCCCCGGGGGGTGCAGCGGTTGCAGCCTTTGTCCTACAGTCTGATGGATGGAGATTTGCGGGGGCTCGCAGCAGTGCACTTGCGGGCGCCACCAATGCATATGTCTCTGAGCTCTCAGCCATCACAGCGGCAATTAAGTTTGCGTATGACATCATCAAGGTGCACGTCGCATGCTTTGGCTTTGCCCCCACTTTTGTCTGTCGCCACGACGCCACTACGGTTGGCCGACAGGCAGATGGGGCGTGGCAATGTATTTCGTGCCCGCTTTTAGGCAAGACCCTTCGAAGCTTTGTGCTTTTGGTCGAGACTGCCTTTGATGTCGTTGTCCAGTTCGAGCACATCAAGGGGCATAGTGGTGAACCAGGCAACGAACTTGTGGACTTTTTGGCGGATGCTGCAAGAGTGGGGCAATCTCTTACGCCTTTTGATGACTGGCTAAGCTACATTTCACAAAAACACTTTGTGGATGCCGTACAATGGGTTTGGCTCCTTGTGGCACCAGATTTTGCAACGTGTTGGCATGAACAGACCATTGTTTTTCCCCCACCGCAGACTGCACCTCAACCTGATCTACTACCAGTTTCTGACTCCTTTGCAGCGAGCCAGGAGGATACAAGTGACAGGTATGCTCTCATCGAGCTTCGCATTGCTACCTGCAATGTCCTGACCTTGAAAGGCAAGGATGATCAGTTGACAGGACTTTCAGGGGTCTCTCGCCAACGTATGTTGTTGCAGCAAATGAATGAGGAGGGCATCATTCTCTTTGGACTTCAAGACGACCAGATTTCAGAAATTGCACTCAGCCTACGACCCTGACTATATCCTCTTCAAGAGCGCAGCAACCAAGCAGAGTCACTATGGCCTTATTGCTGGCTTCGCCCGGCAGAGGCCTTATGGACAAGCCCAAGGTCAGCGCCGCAAGTTGTTCTTTCATGAGAGCCACTTTGCCATCATCGCTTATGACCCGAGATATTTTATACTTCGAGTGGCAGCTCCCTTTCTACGGATGCTGGTTGTGGTGGCACATGCACCTCACTCAGGCGCTGATATTGGGGAGCTTGAAGGATGGTGGCGTGCTCTCTCTGATGCAGTACCTCCAACATATCAGAATTGGCCAGTGCTCCTTCTTTGCGATGCAAATGCGGCGGTTGGAGCATCTACGTCAATCCATGTTGGCGACTACCAGGCGGCCAAAGCTAATGACAAAGCAACTCCCTTTGAGGACTACATTGCCCGTACTGGCCTATGGTTGCCCTCTACATTCGAACAGTACCAGAAAGGTGACGGCCACACCTGGGCGCACACATCAGGCAGCGTGAAGCGACTGGACTATGTGGGGCTCCCTTTGAGCTGGACTTTGCAAACTTGCGAGGCATGGGTGAGTCAGGCCATTGACCCAGCCATTCTTCGAGCCGACCACTCTGCAGCCTGTGTGGCCATGTCTTTCATTTCTGGAGACCGGAACATACGAAAAATTCATCACGAACAGACCTTACGCCACTTGGACGTGAAAGAGATCAACTGGGGAGGCCTACAAGCACCCTGTGATCTGCAGGTCGATGTCCATTCTCATCTCGACCATCTACAAAGTCGATTGGTTGAGCACTTGCTTCCGCAAGGACGCATTAGGCGCAAGGTGCCATTCAAGCAGACGATGTCTGAGGCTACCTGGGAGCTTGGCGGGCCTGGAGACAGACACTCCATGAGCACCAGAAGACTCAGCGACGTTCCATTTTGAGCCAAATCTTTGCAAGTTGGAGGGATGGGCGCGCTGAAGCTCCTGCAGAGTTTGACAAGTTGCATACCATGCAGGATCATCTCATTGCTGGTGACGCCTGGGGCGGCTTGTCTCCGCAGCTTTGCGGCAAGATGACTGCAGATTCTTTGAGGCGCTTCTAGCTGAAGGAGCAGAGTTCTTGCACCCGGCTGAGGTCAAGAATTTGTGGCGCGTTGTGCGTCGCTCCCTGGTTACAATCCACACCATCTGGTTTCTTTGGAGGGACAATGGGCACCGCACTTCTTTGGAGTACCCTCAACTGGTCCCATTTTGAGCAAACAGCTCCCTTCCCTTTGTGAACTGGAAGATTCGCTCCGGCAGACGCAAGCTGACAGATCGACAGGCTTCGATCCAGTGCCATCTGCGGTGTACCACCACCACGCACCCTTTTTAGCGAAGTACTTCTATCAGGTTCTCTTGAAGGCCTTCATGTGGGGCTGCGAGCCAGTTCAAAGTAAGGGGGGTGAGCTGAAGATGATCCCCAAAAAACAGGGTGCCATTGAAGTTCAGCACTTCAGAGGGATCCTATTACTCCCAACATTTGCAAAGCGGCTGCATGCGATTCTGCGAGCGAGATTGATGCAGCAGACAGCCCGCAGGCGTGATCCTGGACAAATGGGAGGCTTTATGGGCCAACAGGTGGCCTTTGGCTCACACCTCATTCGGGCCCTCACCAACACCTTTACGGCAAAGGGATGGAGCTCCGCTGTTTTATTCGTGGATCTTTCTACGGCTTTTCAACACCTGGTGAGGCAGCTCGTTGTAGGAGCGGACGAGACTGAGGAGCTCAATGTGGTTTTGGAAGCCCTGTACCTAATTTTGAACACCTGAGTTTCCAGTGGCTTTGAAAACAATATGAAAAGTGATTGTTTCTTTTTCTTTCTCTGTGAAAGCATCTCAAACATGTGTGGGTTCCCTCAAGATAAGGATATGGGCCTCTCAAAGTGTGTGGTCTCTCAAAAAAGAAAACCTCTCACAATGTGTGGCTTTCAACCATGGCTGCTGCCAGAAACATGAATCCCTCAAAGTGCTTGGGTCTCTCAACATGTGGCTCTCAAAGTGGTTCACCTGCATGTTTTTTAGACCTTGACCACATGAACCTTTGCCACAATGCCAGTTCTTGTTTGTGCCAAACTTAAACTTCAGCTCTTGGAGCACCCAAGCTTTTCTCTGCCAACTTGAATTGACATCTTATGGCATCATGCCAGTAAGCACCTTTGGTGAACTGCACATGCAAAGCCATCCTCATCTTATCAGCAACTTTGTTGACTGTGAGGAAAGGTCCAGTGCCAGCCAAGCATGAGTGAGCTAGCTGTTGCACATGGTGCATGTAATCTTCGCCACTGAAGCACCAAACTAACCTAGGTGAAACATATTTGCTCAGTAGAGCAGAATGTGCAAGGCCATGCAATTTGCATGTGGAAGTGAAAAGATGGGGAATTTCTTCTTCATTTTGGTAATGGTTTTCCAAAAGTAGCTGCAAGTGGCCCATGTTGAAAATCACTCTTGTGAACTCTTGGGCAACATGGTCTGGGAAAGAAAATTCACCCTTGTGCTCCTCAAGCATTGCATCCACCTTCTGGTTCAACTTCAATAGGACCAAGATGTTCTTCTGCATGGTGACACTGCTGTTGTAGTGCTTTTCCCACAGGGACAAAATCACAGGGCCAAAGCTTCTAATTTCAATGGCCTTACCTCTCAATTTTGGTCCCCCCTGCTTTCTCATGAACATGCTGAGCTTGGACATGTGTCTGAATTTGCAAGTAGTGGGGTATTGTTTGTAAAATTCCAAAACCCAAGCTTCCAAGACTTTCAAATTCTCAAGAGGTGACCCATTGCTGATCATGTGGTGCACCAGCAAATACCTGGTGTGTTTTGTAGATTACACAAGCAATTACCACATAGTAAAAAATGTGTTTGGGGTGTCAATTTTAGCTTGACAGAAAAAATGAAAAAACAAATGGAAACAAAGCAAAACCAAAAACACAGTTTCTCTCAAAGATAACATCTCAAATTGCTCTCCCAACATGTTCTCTCAAAGTGTTTTCTCAGGATCATTTATCAAAGTGTTTGTGCTCAAAGTGGTCTCTCAAAGTGATGGTTTGTTCTTTTGGGGATGCCACCAATGTGGGAATGCTTGCCAAGCCAGAAGCAAAACATTGCTGGAATTTATGACCAGGTGCAAGCAACTTCCAAAAATATACATGTCCACCCCCAAATATTTATTGTGCATAAAATCCAGTGAGCACATCGCTGCTGATGCCCCTGGGATGCCAGGTCTGTGGTGTCCAGCATGTGGAAACCCAAGGGGCAGAAGTGTCAAAGTTTTTCCATGAGTTATGCCCTTCAGCATCAGCTTGGCAAAGGACACAACATTTCTTCTTGGTTTGCCATTTGGGAAGTTTGAGGACACTGGCAAAATAGTCCATGTCCCCTTGCAATGTGAACAGGATGGCAGACCAGCCACCTGCTAGTGGCAATCCCTTTCTTTTATAGCCCAAACTTCCTTTGGGGTACCTGGGGCTGTGCAGAGAAATGAAACACATAGCATGTATAGTGCAGAATAGAATTTCAAATTCAGGGGAACTATTGGAAATATACAATTTTACAAGCCCAGAAACTCTTTTCCTTGCCAATTCTCCATAGGCCAAATTCCAAGCTGTGAATACTTGATGGACCAGGAAATCAATGTCAAGAAAGTGTCCATTGTACTTTCCCCTTGCAATGTATCCCAAACCATTCCAATGAAGAACTGCTTGTCCTTTGTAGTTGCTTGTGAAAGTAATGAAGCCCAAGAAAAGACCCAAGCACTCCTGCACCATATCTTACCCTTTCCAGTTATAGGGACGCCATCACCGTGCATCCCTATTGGGATTTGCTTTGAAGTGTCAGCCAGTGCTGGGTGCAAACTCATGCAAGGGTGTTCCTTGTTGGTTCTCCAAAACTCTTGGAGGTAACCAGGGGGGCCCACCAAGACATTCTGGAAGGTGTCATAGTAGTGCTGGTAGATACTTGCAAAAAGTTCGTGGGGTAAGAGGAGTTTCTGCATCTGGTTTCCTTTTTTGTAAGGAAGTTGGACTACAAAGGGCTGAGGCAACTTGCTTTTTTGGTTGGCTATCAAAGCAGCTGACATCTTGTTGGCATACCCACCACCCAACTTTGCCAAACTCTGCAAAGGTGTAGGTGCAGCATGCTGCATGTCTGAGCAAGCTTTGCTTGCCACTTGCTGTGCCATTTGGGGGCTGATGTGGCCCCATGCCCACTCTTCAACCAAGAAGTTGGCCAACTCACTGGTTGTTTTGGCTTCTGGCTGACCAGGGTTCAAAGCCAGCCTTTGCCTTTGACCAAGGCGCTTTCTTTTGGCAGGTGCAGTGGAGTCATGTTCATCCTCCATTGCTGGCATGTGAAACTTATAAATGTTTCAAGTTGGGTTCATGGTGATATTTTACAATCCCTTATTCATTCCACAAAGCAGCAGTGTTCAGAATATGAAAATAGCCATGGATGTGTTGGGCTTGGGCACTTGTGGGCACTTGAGGGCACTTGAGAGCACTTGAGGGAACTTGAGGGCACTTGAGAGCACATGAAGGAACTTGGAGCTTGAATGCAGCTGGGAGCATGCACATGAATGTAGATTTGGGTGCATGTGGTGGGGTTTGAATGTATTTAAGCTGAGGGCACTTGAGAAGAGCTGAAGAGCATTTGAGGGCATTGGTGAGCACTATTTGAAAGATGTCTTTAGCACAGGTAAGCACTTGGTGGCAATTATTGCCAACTAAGAAGTTGTGAGGGAAAGTTGATAGCCAAAGAGGTGGTTGAACATGTGGCTTCTGATTCCAAGGTAGCTCTCAAAGTGGCTATCACAAGTGTGTCCCTCAAAGTGGTTCTCATAGGTGTGTCTCTCTCAGTGGTTCTCATAAGTGTGTCTCTCAAAGTGGTTCTCACAAGTGTATCTCTCAAAGTGGTTCCAATAAGTGTGTCTCTCAAAGTGGCTCTCATAAGTGGGTCTCTCAAAGTGACATTAATGACTTGAAGTGGCACCCCCAAGCTTCCACAATTCCCAAAATAACTTCTACCTTAACTTTCACCCCATGCTTTGAACCAACATGCACCCTACACTGTGTGCTTCCTATTTTTCTCTCAAAGTGTATCTTGCTATCAAAATGAATGTTCAATATGCCACCTCACAATTTGGAAGGTGTTTTCCAGGCTCTACCTTGCAGTGCACACCAAAAAAAGACAATGCCACAAACTTCCAAACATCAACCTCAGCCAAATGAATCATAACAACAAAATTGTTTTGACTAATGTTTTTTCAGGCACATGCACAAGAGCCACCAAGTGCTCCAACCCATGCCAAAACATGTTTTCCAGTCTTGCAATCTCTTGCTGCGACACCATTGCTAGCAGAGCAAAATGCTCTTCATAAAGCTGCCAGAATCTGTGATATTTCCAGGGTTGCACACATTGTCAAAATTGCAACCCATCCAAAAAAGACAGTTGAACTATGACAGCTTCAGTTTATATAAAATATAGGTTGCTTTACCTGTATTTCAAGTTCTCACAAATTTCTGGTCTTACCCTACAGCAACCCCCTCACCTTGAGAGTTGTTTTCACTCCTTCAATCTTCTCATTGGCCTTTTGGGTTTGCTTGGCCAGGGTTGTCATCCAATCCTTTCCACTCGCGACATCCCATGTCTTGCCTCCAGGTAATTCCTAGCACAGTCTGAAGCTGGATGAAATACATAAGGTTTGGGTTGGACCATGTAAGGGTGCATATGCTAGTTGTGTTCAAAATGGTCTAGACAGCAAGATGTCTTTCAAAGGATGCTTTCTTGCAAACTGGGAAAAGTGGCTGGCTATGAAAGAACAATGTTTCCAACAATGTTTCTCAAAATGATACCTCCAAGTTTTCCATCAAAGTGCTCAAAAATTTGTGCACCCTCAACCTGCACCCCTCAAAGTGAGACTCTCAAAGTGTGACCTTCAAAGTGCCCCCTACAAAGTGCAACCCTGAAAGTGCAATTCTCCAAGTGGTCTCAAAGTATATACCTCTCACAGTGACCCCCACACCAAACCAGCAGACCTTCCACAGCAAACAGTGGTCCAAATCCTTGTCATTGTCCTGCAAATCCTTGAGGCTGCCCTTGAAGGTGTCAAGTAAGTCCTGATCCTTTGCTGCCAACACCTGTTCCTTCAACTTCATGCCATCCCTGATCAACTTTTCCTGAGCAGCCTTTGCTGACTGCAACACCTTCTCAACATGGTTCCAGTCAACTTCCTGTGTCTTTGGCTTTGTCAAAACTAGAACTGTGTCTCCTGCTGCTTCTGCTGAGTCCTCCACTTGCTGCTGCAGTGAACAAACATTCAAACTCTTGAACCAGTCAGAAATGACTTGGTGAGAGCTTTCATCCAAGGTGTGCTGGCCATCATTCAATTCACTTTCATCACCCAAACTTTTCATCCTGCCTGACTTCAAAGTGTTGTAGCTATAATAGTCCTTTCCCTGGTAGCTGGTCACAACAACATCCCCACACTGCAAAGCTTTCTCTAGTGCACTTTGGTTGCCACCAAACTTGTCATAGAGCATGATGGACCAGGGGTAACCTGAACCAAGTCATCAGTCACAACAAGGTGAAGGCTTTCAGCATTGATTTGGATGGCTATGGTGCTTGACAACATGACCCATGAACCAGAACAAAATTTTAACCATGAACCCCTACTTAAAAAATGAAGATGGACATATTTCATGAAATCTAGAAATACAAAACCAGGCAGGCCCAGGTGTATGATATGTATTTTTTTTGGAGAATATACTGTTTCCAAAGTGATGCTCAAAGTGGGCTCCAACATGATTGCCTGCAAGTGGCCCATGTCCCTTCACCATCACTATTTGCTTCCCCAAAAAGGTACCACATGTGTATGTGCCTATGATTTTCCCATACATATACATTTGTATGTGTGTACTGTGTGTACCTTGTAAGTTGTAAACTTGCATCCAAGTACAGGAACCGACAGAATTATGGAAAAAAAAACGTTTCAATTTACAGGCGCCGCCTGTCTATGATAGAAAAGCTACGAACCTTTTTTTTTCCATAATTATTTTTTCCATAATTATTTTTTTTCCATAATTCTGTCGGTGACTGTATGTCCATCGATTCGCAATTTGAATGCATTTTAAGGGGGAATATTGAATTATAGAAAATATGTGTCTAAAGATCTGGTATATGCCCCTAAAGCCTGCCATTGATATACATAATATCATGTGATGTTCGCAATTTGAATGCATTTTAAGGGGGAATATTGAATTATAGAAAATATGTGTCTAAAGATCTGGTATATGCCCCCCAAAAACCTTTTGCCAAGCCACTAATTGGGTTGATACTACATACTTGCATTTGCATACATATTTCCATAACCCCCCAAAAAAAGGGGTTTGAATTGTGGGTCCATGACATGTCCAACAGGTGGAGCCCCAAACATTAATTATGGAAAAAATAATTCTGGAAAAAAAATAATTATGGAAAAACCGGTCAATCTGCCCTAGCCCCCTGATTTTACAGGAAAAATCAATTATGGAAATAATGGCCACCTCCAAGAATTATGGAAAAAAAAAAGGTTCGGATCACTTCCGGGATATTTTGAACCCTTATGGGGAAAACCCAATTATGGAAAAATCGGACGCAGGCGCCGCCTGTCTAAGTTGAACGTTTTTTTTTTCCATAATTCTGTCGGTGACCATAACTTTGTGCCTCTTCCTTTCCATACTTCACACCCAACAGCTTTTGAACCCTTTTGGAGGCAGGGTCTTTGAGAACCATCACAAAGTTGTTGCCCTCTTTTCTGAAAAGGCTGTTGATGAGCTGGGTTTTGTTGGCTCTTGGGTTTTCACTTTTTTCAGCTGCATCAAAGGCCTCCTTCACTTCTGCAGGCCAAGCACCTGCTTTCTCACGCTTTCTAAACTTTTGTGCCTTCTGCCTGTCTCTCTCTTCAGCCTTTGCCTCTGTGGTATTTTCCTTCTCTTCATCTTCTGGCTTGTCTAAATTGTCAACCCATTTCCTTGCTTGGTCCTTCAAAGTTTCCTTTCCTTTCTTTTTTTGGGGTTCCTTCTTCTGCTGCTGCTCTGACTGCTCACCTGTCTGCTTTGACTTGTTGCTGCCAGCTGCTTTGGGTGCTGCCTTTGGTGTTGACTTTGCCTTTGCTTGTGACTTTGGTACCTTTTTAACCTTGGTAGTAGGCTTTACCTTGGCAGCTGCCTTGGCCTTACCACTGGCTGCTGGCCTCTTGAGTCCTGTGGCCTTTCCTGCTGTGCTGGGACTTTTAGCATGTGACTTGGGTGTGGCTGCCTTTGGTGTAGTGGCTTTCTTTGGTGTAGCTTTCTCTGTGGCTTCCTTACCTGACTTCTTTTCTTTCTTCTCAGGTGTCTTTGGCGCATTTTGCTCATGTAATGCTGCAGCTTGTTCAGCCACTGTTGTTTCTTCATTTGGAGATTCTGCCATGGCGGGTCTTTTCATCAACAAGGTGTGAAACTAAATCTTCACTCAGAAGATTCTGGTGTGATGTCCCCAAAACAAAACCCAACACACAATAGATTACACGTTGATAAATACTATGTTTTGGGCAAACCATGTGGGCATCACACTTGAATGAAAAAGTAACACTGTTCTTGAACAATGCACCAAATGATTTGTGTCAAACCATTGTGTTGGAGCATTTTCAAGCCAACTGTCCCTCTGTGAAGAAGGAAATGCAAACATTTTGCATTTTATTTGTGAAAAAAACATGAATTCTGAATAGGAAAATCATCATTTGTACAAGAAACTATGTGAAAATATCATCCAAAAAACAAGTGGCTAGGTAGAAGTTTGGTAGTAGTTTGGTAGAAGTTTCTAGTAAACTTCTACCCCAACATAGAAACTTCTATCAAACTTCTACACTAGTAGAAGTTTGGTAGAAGTTTCAATGAAACTTCTAGTGTGCCTATAGAAGTTTGATAGAAACTTCTACCAAACTACTATCAAACTTCTACACCTGAAGTTTTGAAATATGGATTTTTCTTTGATTTTCTTTGCAATTTTGTTCACATATGAACAAACACATGAAACTTTTCTCTCAAAGTGAGTGCACCTCTTTCTCTCAAAGTGTGCTTTGCCAGTATGAAAGTGCCCATGAATTGCCCACCAACTACCCACCAAGTGCACTCAAAGTGTTGCCTCTCAATGTGGTCTCTCAATGTGTTACTTTCAAAATATAGAAGGTGACCCAAAGTTGAAACCACTCAGGAGGTGAAATCTCTTTTCAGCAGGCTAGTTGAAAGATGTTCCATCGCCAGAAGTTTGCTACCTTGGCTGACAAGGCCAACAAGTTGTATGAAGTATGACACTGTCACTTGTAATTTCCAGGTTCTGTCAAGTTACAAGATCCCAAGGTCATAAGTCATCAGCTGGAGCTGGTGGATGAGCTAGATGGATTACCCCATCCCCTGAGTGCCAGGTGAAGGATGACAGGCATAAAATGATATTTAGGGACCAATAGCTTCATACATTCTTGGTGTGTAAAAGCATAATTTGCCCAGTGGCCCTGGCATGTGCATTTGGGTGATCTTTTCCTGGCACAAGGTGAAGCAACAAATAGAAAGATAAACAATGATGTCAAAAGAATTGCTCAAAAAAAGTTGCCTTGCAAAAGCACAGTCCTTCAAGGCTTCCTTGTCAGCTTGAGTCACCCAGCGCCAGCTCTGTGCAGCTTCATCAAAAGTTTTCCACTCTTGCCAGCCAGAGGCATAGGTAGTCACATGCCACAAGGCACCATCTCTCCAAGTCCACTTAGTACCAACAAAGCTTGGGCCATTGCCACCTAACCTGTCTAGAAACCTTTGCATGCTGCACCTGTAGCACCTTGAACCTGCAATGGTTGCAAGCCATCCCAAGTCAAGTAAACTAATGACCCTAGCTAGTGTAAATCCAAAGTGCCACTCTCCAAGTGCTAGTCTGACAAAGTGTTATACCCTCAAAGTGCTTCTCAAGTATGATGCTGCTTAGATATTCAGACTGTCTCCCAACAAATGTTGGTGATGAAGTGCACTCAAAAGAGATGCCACCTTTTTTTGCTGGCAGCCTAGGTCAAGAAGCAAGTTCACCATCTAGTTTCTAACCCTCTTTGAGAGTTCCAAGTTCAATCTGTTGCACAACCTTGGCACTTGCAGCTTTGCCTTTGATCCTTGCACTCTCTGGGCTAATGCCAGCCCTCAAAGCCATATTCTTGGCTAGGTGGTATGCATTGCTGGTCTTTCTGTGGCGAAATGTAGTTTTATATCCACCAGAAGGGCTTCCTCTGGAAGATTTCTTTCTCTTTGCTTTTGCTTTGGATTTGCATTTGGGGGCTGGCTGTGCTGGGGCCTTTGCTGCCTTTTTGGACTTTGACTTGGCAGGTCGCTTTTTCTTGGGCGTTACTTGTGTTTCATCAGGTGCCTTCATCTCCTTAGGCTCATTGACATCAGAGGTTGCTTTGTGGCTCTTGCATTCTAATGCCAGTGCTAGTGTTTGCAAATCCTGACTGTCCAAATCAAAATTGCTCTTTGCCAGCTGTCTCCTCAAGGTAGGCCTACTGGTGTCGTTTTTTTCATCCAAAGTGAGGTTGCTTTTAGCAAAGCTTCTTTTATAGGAAGGTTTGCTGCCTTCATGTAGTACCAGGTCTGTGCAACTTGTAGTCTCTTTTGCTTTTTCTGGGCTGTGAAACTGTTGGAAAAAGTTGCTTGAAACACCAAAAAGATCCTTACCGGGGCTTCCACAAGCTCCAGTGGAGCTGCTGCTTGGCTCTTGACCTGCCTTTGCCATGGGAGGGGGTGGTGTTTGGGAATCAGGTGGCATCTCCTCATTTTCAAGCTTTCCATCCTTAGATGGCAGTGAAATACATCATTGGGTGCAATCACATCATGATATGTATTAATACCAAAAAAATGCAAAGACATTGTTATCATAAAGAAAAACTTTATGAGCTTCAGCAATGAACAAGGATCCACAGAAACCAGCTCCAAAATTTCTTCAATGGCTTTATTTTCTTCTTGGCTACATCTCTTGGCAACTCTAATGAAGTCTGCCTGGTTGATCTTCAGTGTTCTGATCTGTGCAGCTCCTATACGAATGTACTGGTCCAACTGGTCAAAAAATTGTTCATCCTTCATCTTTGAAAAGTTCAGTCTTTGCTGAGTGGTCCTTTGGGCTGGTGGGCACAGGGGGAAGCAAACACAACAAGGAAATCCAATGAAAAAATAGAAACTTGGGTTGGGAGCAAGAAAAATGTTCTGTTAAATGATACTTCTAGGGGCTGAATCTTCACCATGGCTGTCTTCAACTTCTTTGATGCAACCACAAGGTTCTTCACAACTGAGACCAATTTGATGAGAAAAGGTGATATTTTGTGCAACCACTCTGGATCAGGTGCTGTTTTCCAGGTAACCTTTTTTGATGGCTCTGGTGCCAACAAACTCCAAAGGTCATGACTGCCCTTATCTTTGCAAAATTGGTTGATAACCTGCTGCAAGTCCAGCACACAGACTGATGGATCTGGCACCAATCTACCCATGGCGCTGAAACACAGCAGTGTTTCTCAACATTGTTTGGTGTCTACCCTAGGAGCCACAACCCTGTAAGGAATATGGTTTGCAAAAAGAAAAATGATACCCTTTATAATGCAGTGGATTCATCAACATTGTATGCAGTGTGTCCATCAAAGTGCATGGATTGGGTCTCTCAAAATCATGGGTGTTCCTATCAAAATGCACTTGTCTCTCAAAGTGTGGGTTTCTCCAAGTGCTGGGCCTCTCCAAGTGTTGGGTCTCTCAAAGTGTGGGTCTCTCCAAGTGCTTACCCTTTCCAAGTGTTGGGTCTCTCAAAGTGCTTGGTCCCTCAAAGTGTGGGTCTCTCCAAGTGTTGGGTCTCTCAAAGTGCTTGGTCTCTCAAAGTGTGGGTCTCTCCAAGTGTTGGGTCTCTCAAAGTGCTTGGTCTCTCAAAGTGCTTTCTCTCTCTCTCTCTCTCTCTCCCTCAGTTCTCCCAAAGCCCCTTGTATCCCTTTTTTATACATCACAGCTCACAGGAGCTCAGCAATCACGCAGCCAGGACAGCAACATTGGATCCTATGTCGAATTGCAATTTTGCAATTCCAACAATTACAAGTAGCACTAGGCATAGTCCTATGCGCATGTAAAAGCTGGATTGGGATATTTCCCACTTCGTACCCAGCTCTGACAGCCCCCATGATCCTCCTAGCTAACCTTTCTCCAGGTTCCACTGCTGATGGAAGGTCGTAGGTGTATTGGATGACATTCCTTAGATGTTGTTTCATACATATGGAGTCCCTCACTTCCATTTTTTGTGTGGAAAAGGACCACAACATATTTTGTCTCATAGGGTGTCATGAGATGCCTGTTGAAAGTGTGTCCCTCAAAGTGTGTCTCTCAAAATGAAAAACCATGACCCTCAAAGTGTCTCTTTCAAAGTGTGTCCCTCAAAGTGTGGGTTTCAAAATGAAAAAACATTACCCTCAAAGTGTCTCTCTGAAACTGTGTCCCTCAAAGTGGATATCTTTAATCCTATACTTTTTGCATATCTTGCTAAGGCACAGTTGGTGAGGTTCCGTGTCCCTATACTCGTCATCCAATGTTCGAACAGGTGGATCAGGTGGATCTGTAGCATGCCTTGTCAGGGGAAAAAATGGTTTGAAACTAGGCTGCTGGGTGCAAAGTAAGAAAACCAACATTCAGTTTTCATCAAGCAATCCAACCTCACCTGTCATATGGAGCGAAGGGATCATATTCAGGATCATCATTCCTTGAAGCATGCACAATCTTTCAAAAATGATGTCTCTCAAAGTGAGTCTCTCAAAGTGTTCCCTCAAGTGGCTCTCAAAGTGTGTGTGTGTGTGGCTAAAGTGCAATTCAACCAAATAGTCCATGACCCCAAAAAATTATGTCTATATATATATATATATATACATCAGTATATATATATATGTATATGTGTATATAAGTATGTATGCATCTAGCTGTGTTGAACTTTAGGTTCAGCAGACTAACAGATCCAAGAATCTCAGCATCTGCAGCCCCTGGAATCCCAGATGCAGCATTGGATGGATCAGGCTGTTCAGGCTGCCTAAGCATGAGGAAAGGTGGATTTTTTTTAAAAAAAATGAGCCCCAGCCATTCAGCACCACATGGTACTTCCCACATGTTTTTGGAGCAAAGTTTTGCCAAACAATTCATCCAAGAATCTGAACTCCAGTGTCCCTTGAAGGGATGTGTGCAGCATTCGAAGGAGCACCAGGCTGCCTAAGAATGAGGAAAGGTAGAAAATTAAACTGTTTTTTTGCAGTCCCAGGCATTCAGCACCATAGTATACTTCCCACATGTTATTGGGAGAAAATTTTACCAGAACAATCAACCAAGGATCTCAGCAGCATTGGATGCATCAACTCCAACTGCAGTAGCCAAAGGCTGTGAAGG